TTGTTTTGGAATTCTTCTGGACTCAATCTAGCAATAATTTCAATGGTTGGTTTATTGAACAGTTTCAATAGTTTCTAATGATTGGTTGTTAGGATGAAAATAAGGCCCTTTGATAACAACGCATACACCTGGGAAATAACTGTCCTGTCATTTAACTGTTGTCATCTGAGTTTTCTTATCTTGTCACTTCTTGTGAGATCAAGAAAATTATGTTCCAAAGAAACGATGCTGCCATATTCTTGGAGATCAGTTATACACCAATGTTGGATACTACCTATGAATTTCCAGTGGTTTGCTTTGCGAAGAGGCTTACATTTCCATCTGTGATGCATTTTGCAATGAGTGGGTTTGATGTCAATGCACTGAAAGACATCCCTCAAAAACAAAAGGACAAGAGTCATCAGCTCCCACACAAAGTAAAAAATGTGAACCTAATTTTAGCAGTGTTAATAAGGAGCAATTATCCATGAATCACTGCATCAATAATGCCTGTGTTATAACATCCTCTCCTCCTTAAGGCACAGGAGCAAGTGGTACATACTTGTCTGGGAACCAGTTTCATTAATACTGTTGTATCTGAGCAAAAATGAGTAGCAATATCTGTTACCAGTTTCATTACCTTTTGGAGTTTTGGATAACATATCCATACTGTGATGTTTATATATTTTAATGAGTTAATTTTCAGTGAAATTGTAATTCTAACTTTGCATGTGAAATCAAGTTCATACATAATAAAGCTTGCCTATAATAAAAAAGAGTTGGTGACATAGATGCAGTTGAAGCTGTTAAAGCGGATTTCATCCAGGGAGGGTGTACAGCCCTTCACATACCTATGATATCTACCCCCACAAAAAAAGAGAAATGAAACTACAAATTTTTGCACATGATTTCAGGGGGATTTGTGGAGTTCCTATCTATGATAAAGGATCCATGGGTCTCAGAAATTTCTGGGATGGCACAAGAAGATCCAGGGTCTTACAAATATTTAACAAGTGACAGCAAAGCTGAAAAACTTAGTCATGTGCTGCATCATGACATTTGATTAATAACAGATTGCATATACACTGGTCCCATAGATTATAATATCATAATTTTATGGTATTTTTTCTATGTTTAGATACGCAAATACTTCCCATTGTGTTACAGTTTTCTACAGTATTCACTAAAGTAATAAGCAGTACAGGTTTGCAGTCCAGGAGCAATAGGCTATACCATATAGCCCAGAGAGTAGGTTATACTATCTAGGTTTGTGTAAGTCCATTCTATGATGTTCACACAAAGACAAAATCATCCAATGATGAATTTCTCGGAATGTGTCCCCATGATTATGCGATGCATGACTGTAGAGATATGGAATAACTTGTTAAGGTAAGTTTTTGCAACAAATAAGATGAGTTATATCCATCATGCTTAACGACAGCACGTGCAATTTTTCTTTTTTGAGACAGGGTCTCTGTTACCCAGGCTGGAGGACAGTGGTACGATCATGGTTCCCTGCAGTCTCAACCCCCCAAGCCAGGCTCAAAGGATCCTCCCACCTCAGCCTCCTCAGTAGCTATGAATACAAGCCCAGCTAATTTTCTGTATTTTTTTTTTTTTTGTAGAGATGGGGTTTCACCATGCTCAAACTCTAGGCTCAAGCGATCCGCCCACCTTGGCCTCCCGAAGTGCTGGGATTACAGGCATAAGCGACAGAGCCCTGCCAGTGCATGCAGTTTCTTACAAGTGTCAACTCTCTTGCCAGTTGTTCATCCATCTGTCCCATGTATTCAATAGTAATACTAATGGCAGGCACTGCTTAATGAGTGACTACCATGTGAAAGCCACTCTGCCTGGCATTAGGGATGCAAAGATTAAGTCCCTCACTGTGACCTCAAGGGTTTTACAGTCCAGTTGGAGGATACTTATAAGTAAACTTAAGTAGCAATAGTGAAATATGTGTTTGAAGAGGTATGTGCAATGGCTGTTGAGTGAGAAATGGGAAAGAGCACCAAAAAGCACCTAGGATTTGTACCCAGGGGGTTTAGGGAAAACTTCTTGGAGAGAACAAATAGGCTTTGTTCTGAAGGATTAATTGGATTTAGCTTGGCAATGCTCCAATGTAATAAATAGCATAGCCGTCTGTTCTGGGACACATAAGTACTTCAGAATGGCCTGAATATAAAGGACAAGAAATAGAGAAAGGCAGTGGGTAGAAATGAGACTGGAGAGGTAAGCAGGGCTAGGACACTGGATGCGAGTCATTCCAAAGACAGGCAGGTAACACTGTGTGAGGAATCCTGGTTTCAGACAGACAGCCGTGTGAGTTTTGGACCGCAATGAATTGGGGACCTCATAACCAATGAAAACACATTCACATTCAATCAGAAGAAAAAAACATGGTCAGGCACAGTGGCTCACACCTGTAAGCACAGTGCTTTGGGAGGCCAAGGCAGGAGGATCGCTTGGGTCCAGGAGTTCAGAATCAGCCTGGGCAACCCAGAAGACCCCTGTCTCTATAAAAAAGTAAAAAATAAAAACACTGCCTGGCATGGTGGCATGTGCCTACAGTCCTAGCTATTCAGGTGGCTGAGGTGGGAAGATTCATTGAGCCCAGGAGGTTGAGGTTATAGTGAACTAGATTGTACCACTGCATCCGAGACTGGGCGATAGAGCAAGGCCCTGTCTCAAAAAGAAAATCGGGGGGCGTGGTGGTTCACATCTGTAATCCCAGTACTTTGGGAGGCCAAGGCAGGCAGATCACTTGAGGTCAGGAGTTCGAGACCAGCCTGGCCAACATGGCAAAAACCTGTCACTACTAAAAACATAAAAATTAGCCAGGTGTGGTAGTGCCCGCCTATAGTCGCAGTTACTTGGGAGGCTGAGGCAGGAGAATCGCTTGAACTCCAGAGGCAGAGGTTGCAGCGAGCCAAGATCACACCTGTGCACTCCACCCTGGGAGACAGAGGGAGACTCTTTCTAAAAAAAAAAAAAGAAAAGAAAGAAAAGAAAAAAAAAGAAGAGGAAAAAAGGAAATTCCCATTATGTTAGGCAAACAAAAACAGCCAGTTGTGACTAGTGGCTAAATCAAGAAGGATCTTACAACATATCTTAAGCGGTTTGGACTTTACATCAAGAGTCAGAGAGTGCCATTACATAAATTTAAATAGTGGAGTACATAAAAGACAAACTGATGACGTTGTAAAGACTGGATTAGAAGGGGATAAAACTGCGGCCTGGGAAACTGGTTAGGTGACTAAGGCAGTATGCAATACTTGAAATGACAGTGGCCTGAAACAAGATAATGGTGGTGGCTATAAAGAGGAATTTGATACATTAGAGAGATATTATAGAGCCAGAAGCAAAGGCACTCAGTAATGGATTGGAAGTGTGGGGCAAAGGAGAGAAAAAAAATCACGGAAGTCATTAGCTACAAAAAATCTTTAAAATGTATTGATTTCTCTAGGAGTGGTGGCTCACACTTGTAATCCCAGCACTTTGGGAGGCCAAGGTGGGAGAATCACTTGAGGCCAAGGTTCAAGACCAGCCTAGGCAACATAGCAAGACCCTATGTTTACCAACAACAACACAAAAAATTTAAGAAAATCAAAAAAAAGTATTGACTTCTATTGGTTTGCCAAATGAAGTTTACTATTAAATCCAAAATTGAGTCAGAATAGTGAACTGAGGCAGCCATCTTCATCTTCTCCCTCTTTTTTTCAGTTTGTTTTGAAATTTAGTTTTATATACTTAAGACTTACCTTCTGGCAATTTGGAATTAAATTTCTGAGATTGCTGTAAATTATTTCCGTTCTTTGTTTCTCTTCCTCTTTCTTACTTCCCTATTTTATTTTAAATATTTTATTGTTTTAGTTGAATGCTAAAACATCTTATCAGAACTTAGTTTTTAAATTTCTCCACCCGGAGAGCCGCGGAGCCTTTAAGTATCAGAAATTTGTCTCCTTGTCAGAATCTTCTAGATTTTCAGACGTTTCCAAGTCGCTACATATAAATGTTGGAGAAAAACGTGTAATTCTCATGTGTAAGTAGGCTCTTTTTTTCAGCGGATACATTTAGCATTATAGTCAATTGTCATTTCCTTGCCTTAAAAGCTGTTTTCATCGTAAAGGTGTTTTTTCGCCACAGAATTCAAATTTGCATAGGTACTTCATATTTTAAAAGGCGACTCACAGATATGTCCCTTAAACAGTAACATTTAAACGACTGAGAAGGTAGGGGCTCTGAACAGTGAGTGCGGTGGCGAGGGTGGGAGGGGAAGAGGCAAACAGGTGCCAAATTCCCATCCCAACCCGTCCTACAAAGACCGAACGGCAACTTGGTTGTGCAGGAAGGTTCCTCAGGAACGGCAGCCCGGCCCGATCCGGAGCCGAGGGAACGGTGGTTCTCGCCGCCGCCGCCACGCAGCCTCGCTGCCGCCCAAGCGCGGACACCCGGTTCCCGGGTCCCCCTGGTTCCGGGGTCCCCCGCGCGGAGCTCCGGACTCCTCGCCCCTCTCCGAACAACTCTCTCCCCGCTTGAACTGATCCTCGCTGTTGGCAGAGACTGCACAGTCCCAGCGTCCAGCCGGAGAGGACCTGCTTTGTCGCGTCTGGAAACAACCACCGCGGCCAAGGAGGCCGTGTCGCCGTGGGAAGAACAACAACTCCAGGCTCGTCCCGCGGCAGCCGCTCCCCGCGCTGCAGGGCACCTACCCCCGTCCTGGAGGCTCTGCGCCGCGGGCGGGGCCACCCTGGGGGTCGTGCGCCCTCTGCCGGAGCGCGCCCCCTCCCCCTCCCAGAGCGCGCCCCCGCCCAGCCTGCCGCGGCCCCGGCGCTCCCGCCCCCTCGGGCGCTCCGTAGCCGTGACGTGCACGCCGCAGTGCCGGGGACTCGGCGGGGCGCCGGCCGGCGGGCGGAGACCGACTCGGGATCTGTCCGAGCAGGAAGCCAGCCGCAGCCCGGCTGCTGTCGGCGCCCCGTCCTGGTGCCCGTCCGCGTCGTCGTCCTCTTCACTGGCCCTCATCACTTCTCACCGCGCCCTCCAGCTTCACCCGCACAGGTAGCCCTGCCGCCGCGCACCTGCCTTTGCGCCCGCACCGGTGAGTGTCCGGGAGCCCCCGCTGCGGTGCGTCGGCGCCGGGGTCTCGCGGTCCCGGGCCCGGCCTTGCTCCCGGGCCTCCTGTAGCAGCGCCGGAGCCGACGCTTCTGTTCACTGCCCGAGGACGCGGGTGGAAGAAGCAGGTGATGGGTGGGCCCTGGGCAGCGGTGGGGCCGAGGTGGTTCTCGTTTCCACCGAGAGACGATTTCCTTTCATGGGTTCTCATCACCAGGGTCCCTTTGTGTTGCTTCCCTGGCTCCCAGGTAGAAGCAGAGAACTCAGGTGCCTAACTCGGACTCGGACACTCCGTGAGAGTTTTATTTTCTCTTTTGTAAACACGCTTAAAATTCAGCGCAGGGAGAGCGCACTTTGTTCTGAGATGTGAAGATCAAATGATACCATTAATAGTCTAATCATGTAGGAGACCAGATTGAGACTTTCTAAAGCCTTATTCTTAGTCTCTAGGTGGTCCAGTACCTTGAGTGTGTCAATTTACGGATATGCTACCGAACAAGAACTTTTTTGTTAATTTCCAAAAACTCCCGAAAACGATTAAAATGCGCAAACTCTGGGATTTTAAGTAGAACATAATTTGGTGGGGTTATTACTAGAACATCCATGTTTAAAAGTATTTCCGCGCAGTTTAAAAAATTCATTACATCTTTTTTTTTTTTTTTGAGACGGAGCCTCACTCTGTCGCCCAGGCTGGAGTGCAGTGGCGGGATCTCTGCTCACTGCAACCTCCACCTCACGGGTTCAAGCCGTTCTCTGCCACGGCCTCCCGAGTAACTGGGATTACAAGCGCCCACCACCACGCCCGGCTAATTTTTTTTTCTATTTTTAGTAGAGACGAGGTTTCACCATCTTGGCCAGGCAGGTCTTGAAATCCTGACCTCATGATCCGCCCGCCTCGGCCTCCCAAAGTGCTGGGATTACAGGCGTGAGCCACTGCGCCTGGCCAAAAATTCATTCCATCTTATCTGGCATAAAGTGATGTGGTGGAGGGATGCTTAAATTCTGATTTACAATTATTAGTGAGAAATGAGGAGCACTGCCCTAACTTAATAGACTGTATGGGCTAAACAAGACTCTTTTTTTTTTTTTTTTTTTTAATGCTCTGGTGGTATAGAGGCAGTCTAAATAAAGTCAGAATTTGAGAGTTTTAAAAATTAACTTTTTTTTTTGAGGCAGAGTCTCGCTCTGTCGGCTCACTGCAACCTCCACCTCCTGGAGTTCAAGCGATTGTCCTGCCTCAGCCTCCCAAGTGGCTGGGACTGCAGACTCACGCCACTGCTCAGCTAATTCTTGTATTTTTAGTAGGGACGGGGTTTCGCCATGTTGGCCAGACTGGTCTCGAACTCCTGACCTCAGGTGATCCACTCGCCTCGGCCTCCCAAAGTGCTGGGATTACAGGTGTGAACCCCCGCACCTGGACTAAAAATTAACACGCTTAAGGTTTAGCTGAAACTTATCTTCACACCATAAAACGTGAATCTTGAACTTGGACTGGTAGTGGTCATGGTACAAAGGTTGGCGGCAAAACAGCATTTCTGTACAAATTAACTGAATTTCCTAGATGTCTTGAGTTGTGGTTTTCAAACTGGAGACTGTTTAGTGAAAAAATTACCTTTGTGCCTTTTGCCCTTAGTTGTAGAAACCGCCGCAAATGTTACAAAGTGGGCTGTAGCCAGAGCTTGAAACCATGCCGCTGTTCAAAATAGCTCACCGACTTTTATATATACAGCTCATTTTGAGTATTTTACGTTACTCAGGAATTGCATCCACATTGGTAAACAGAAGTCATTTTAGTCTTATGTACATTTACCCACTACTTTTGTATTTTGTGTGTGTGACATACTGTTTATCATTCTCTCATCTTTGTAAGTTACAATTTTGTTTTCAGAAACCATTGTAAACGTCAGTAACAGAAGTATGAATGACATTTAAGGAAAGATCATGATTAAAAACTGTATAATATATAAAACTATGTATGGTATACATGTATATTCTCGGTTAGTGCCCAGAAACATGAGCAAGAAAAATGTAATGAACAATTACAATATTTAACGTAAATTAATGCAATTAAATATTGTATTAAAAACAAAAGATCGTAAATCATAACCAGTAGAGATTATCTGAAATGGATTTTTTCCCTGTTTATGTTTACATGGTCAAGTTTTAAAATAACAGTGGCCAGGAAATCTGAGAGAGGCTGAAGGCTCTGTTCTCATCCTGTTGTGACTTTGCCTGGAGTCTGTGGTGTATCATGTAGCCCATTGTTTAGACAACCGGGCTGTATCTGGGTTCCAAAATGTAGCTTTCTTTAGAAAATTTTAAAGACTTTGACCATGTGAGGCTTGAATAGATACAAACATCCAAACATTTGAAAAAAACTAACCCATTTTAACTTTCTGTTGAGAGTTGAAGCTCCATTTTTGACATGTAAAATGTCAGTTTTAAGAAGAGTTTACTAACCTCTGTGTAGTTTTCATTTTTATATATTAAAATATCTTATCTAAAAATAAAATATTTAAAAGTGTTATAACTTAAATACATCTCAGAGTTTATTTATTCATTTTTTTTTTCACTCTCAGTTGGAGTCTTGCCCTGTCACCCAGGCTGTGCAGTGGCACGATTTCGGGTCTCTGTAACCTCAGTCTCCTGGGTTCAACTGATTCTCCTGCCTCAGCCTCCTGAGTAGCTGAGATTACAGGTGCCCATCACGACACCTGGCCAATTTTTGTATTATTAGTAGAGATGGGGTTTCACCATGTTGGCCAGGTTGGTCTCAAAACTCCTGAGCTCAAGTGATTTTCCTGCCTTGGCCCCCCAAAGTGCTGGGATTGCAGTCTCATAGAGTTTAGTTATGATCCCCATAATGAGATATTTCATGGTAATTTGTGAACCAGCCCTTTACTACTATCAGATTGTTGCACATTTATTAGGCATCTACCATAATTGGACAGATGACAGATTGAGGGGCTTGATCTACAAAATAATTTTCTAGGCTAATGGTCTTGTCCTTACACAGATGAGGAAGTCTAGGCTCAAAGAATTAAATGCTTGCTCCAGAAGGGCAAAGTCTGGATTCACACCTGAGTCATTTGGCCACGAAGCCCGTGTTTTTTCCACCAGAACAGTTTGCCTTGGTTTCAGTTCACTTGGTGGACTGTTTAAACCGGCAAAACTGGTATTATGTCAAAGAATGTAATTCAAGGTTTGACAAAAGCATCCAGGAGTAGATGTGATAGGCCATGAATGTAGTTCTGGAACTAATTTAGAATCCTCTTTTTGTGTCTTCATTCTCAAGTTGACAGCCTTGAACTGTGATGCTGCTGCCTCCTCAGTTTTCGTCTAGTTCTAGAACATTACATGTATTGTGCACGTTTAGCTTTGATAGGTTTATAAGAACTAGAATTAGATTGTAATGTTCCTGGTTAGGATAGAACTGTAAAATTTTCCCCTAATGAAAAAGATAGATTGTTGCCCATAAATGCAGTAGCTATCCTTTAAATATTATGTAATTAATTCTCTAATCTTAAGAGGGGGACTTGTTTTTAGATTATGATTAAATTGTCACTTAGAAACTATTAGGACAAATCTTTTCTATGGTCTGTGGAATATCCCTTGAGCTGCAATAGACATAAATGACAAAAATGAGCACGTAAAGTCCATTTTTTTTTTAGCAAACTAGGAATCATGCATTTCAGCAGTAGGATGTAGTTGGGTAAATGAGCAGAAGCAAGGTAGGAAGGCTGAGTTGGGTGGCTACCATTACGGGTTTTTTTCATTATTTGCCTTGAACTATTAGGAATTTTTCATCTCAAGGATATTCATATTCAAGTATAAATACGAAACCACCACCTGATATAAATTAGTAATATTGCTAATATAAATTGGTAATAGATGATCTGTGACATCCACATCAAGAACTAGAGTTAAATAAGCTTAAGTTCTCTTTTGGAGGCATTATATATATATGTGTGTGTATATATAATCTATATATTTATTAGGCATCTACCGTAATTGGACAGATCACAGATTGAGGGGCTTGATCTACAAAATAATTTTCTGGGCTAATGGTCTTGTCCTAAAAGACCAAAAAGATGGATGAACGTCTTTTTCAACAAATATTTACTGAGGGCCCACTGTGTTTTAGATATGTCAAGTGTGAAATGATTCCTCCCTGTCCTGGCATATCTTTGGATTCAGGAAATGGTGTGTGTGTGTGTATATATATATATATTTTTTTGGAGACAGGGTCTCATTCTGTCATCCAGGTTGGAGTGCAGTGGCATGATCTTGGCTTACTGCAGCCTCCATCTCCCAGGCTCAAGTGACACTCCCACCTCAGTCCCCCGAGTAGCCGGGACCACAGGTATATGTCACCATACCTGGCTAACTTTTTTGTATTTCTGGTAGAGAGGGGATTTGCCATGTTGCCCAGGCTGGTCTTAAACTCCTCAGCTCAGATGATGTGCTGTCTCGGACTCCCAGAGTACTGGGATTGCAGGCATGAGCTACCATGCCTTGCTGGCATTATATAATGTTCAGAGGAACCAGGATCTTTTGCGTTTAAAATGGTTCTGATTTATTTGACAAATTTGAGTGGACTGGAATCTGTAAATATTTTGCAGTGTCTTTCTAGTTACTGTTTTCAAAAATTAGCTTATTTTTCTTTTTGATTAATGTACGAATGACATGTGGTTTGAGAAATGACCATAAGTCCACCAAAAGTTTTCTCTGTGAGTACTGAAGCATAGAAAGTGAAACCTAAAGAAGAAATCTGGCATCTTTAGAAATCTTGCTGGTGCCAAAGAGAGAGGAAATAATATTTTACACAGAAGCCATGTCTCAAGTGAAACCAAAACACCGAAGCACATTCCTTCAGTGTATATTCACATGGGGTAAATATCAAGCTGAGTAATGTGCACAAAGGAAACTCCTACAAAAACACAGTCATCTTTTGAGTATGTTAGGTCATTTGTTATTTTATTTGAAAATAACCTGGCTGGGGCACGGTGGCTCACACCTGTAATCCCAGCATTTTGAGAGGGCAAGGTGGGCAGATCACCTGAGGTCAGGAGTTCGAGAGCAGCCTGGGCAACATGGTGAAACCCCATCTCTACTAAAAATACAAAAATTAGCTGGGTATGGTGGTGGGTGCCTGTAATCTCAGCTACACGGGAGGCTAAGGCGCAAGAATCAC